CAACTCTGATGTTTATATCGACAGTCGTTCACATTCTGGCACTGCAAACACCAGTTGGAGCAACTGGAGCTCGCGAAGCATTAAGCATTAACCTTGCTACATTTGAGAAGCCCCTAAGAAAGCTCACCTTTGCAGATCTTCTTGAAGCCACCAATGGCTTCCACAATGACAGTCTTTCGGCTCTGGTGGTTTTGGTGATGTCTACAAGGCTCACTGAAAGATGGAAGCATTGTAGCCATCAAGAAACTAAAATATCAGTGGACAAGGTGACGCGAATTCACAGCTGAGATGGAAACCATTGGGAAAATCAAGCACCGGAACCTGTACCTTCTTGGGCTATTGCAAGGTAGGGGAAGAGCGGCTTTGGTTATGAGTAAATGAGGTATGGAAGTTTAGAAGATGTTTTACATGATAAGAAGAGAGAGCTGGATCAAGCTAAACTGGGCTGCAAGGAGGAAAATTGCCATTGGAGCTGCAAGAGGGTTAGCTTTTCTTCACCACATTGCCTCCCCACACATTATACACAGGGACATGAAATCGAGTAATGTCTTACTCGATGAACACCTTGAAGCAAGAGTGTCCGATTTTGGAAGGCTAGACTTATGAGTGAATGGTACACATCTGAGCGTCAGCACGCTAGCTGGCACACCCGGTTATGTTCCCTCCCGAGTACTACCAAAGCTTTAGATGTTCACCAAAGGCGATGTACAGTTATGGCGTAGTTTTGCTCGAGTTGTTAACAGGAAAAAGGCCAACAGATTAGCAGATTTTGGTGACATAACCTTGTCGGGTGGTGGTGAAGCAGCACGCGAAACTCAAAATAAGCGATGTTTTTGTCCAGAACTCATGAAAGAAGATTCAAGCCTAGAGATTGAGTTCTGCAACACTTGCGTGTAGCGTGTATGCTTAGACGCCGATTGGAGACGACCAACAATGATTCAGGTTATGGCAATGTTCAAGGAGATTCAAGCCGGTTCCGGGCTTGACTCACAATCCACCATTGCCACTGATGAGGAGGTTTCAGTACAGTCGAAAGGTTGATATGACCATAAGCGAAGCCCCCGAACTAAGCAACAAGGCATAGAACAACAAACCACATTCGAACGAATGCGATTCGAGCAGTTTTCAACTAGAATTCTTTGAAACCAAGAAAGAGGGTGGTAGGTAAGGTTCCATTCAGCTGCCTAAAAATTTTCCCTCTCTTTCCCACTTGAAAAAAAAAACTCAAAAATGTGGCATGAAAATTTGCCTTTGTATCTTACCAGTTTAATGTATGTATCTCTTGTATCCCTTTTAAAATTCTTGTTATTTATACATAAAGGTTGTTTAACTTCGTTATAAAATGTTAAATATACAATGCCAATTTGTTTTCCTAAGGGTTTCTTGATTAGATTTTGATTTGGACTTTTTTAGTGATTGATTGTGACCAAGTCGGGAGTTGTTTTGGCCCTTTCTTCTGATAATTTGTTTCATTCATTCTCTCTTTGTTCCTTTCAGTGCATATGCCAAAAAAACTCTATGCATTTATGCAACTCTTGCATACACTTCATATTTATTAAGGACATGAGCCTCCATTTCTTCAAAATAGTCCTTAAAGGTGTTCTCTATGGCCTCTTAGTGGGGTAAATAAAAGAGGTCCTCTGTATAATTTGTTTTCTATTCATTCTCTGTGTTCTTCGAATTTCTGCTTTGGTTCCACTCTCTGTATATAGCGTAAAATCAAATACACGTGAGGACGAGAAGCTTTGATTTCTTTCAAAATGGCCTTAAAGGTGTTCTAGAAATTGATGTAAAATCAGAAAATGAAAACAATTTTGAATATTATATCAAATTCATCAATAAAGATTGGTTCATAGTTCAGACCTAATCTCACATACTTTTTCACAATCTGACTGACAGCTCGTAATTGATGAATTCGTAATTGAATAGGTGAGTTCATAGCAAGAGAGTGGGATCATTTACGAGTTGATCAATTGTGAATTACTACGTCGAGATTGTAAAAGAAAATTGTGAGATTGGGTTATAAGTGTGTATTGCCGAATAATATCTTACTGACAATAAACAAAGAGTGAATGAAAATGTGAAAAACCACATTAAGGTTGGACCAGGACTAAAACTATCAATAATTAAAAGTCTTAATCTCATAATGGTGGTGTTTAACCAAACAAATACAAATTGGTAGGATAATGGGTGAAAAGATATAGAAAAATCTTTCCAAACTTGGCTCTTTATTATAGACAAAGTGCACAATACATGCTCTTTAGTGACCCAAATGAGATAATAATATCCAATTTATCTTGGAAATTGGGTTGGTGCCCTTCTCCTTTTATACTTCATCTAACATTCCAACTCTCAACAATATTATGTTCAAAAATTCTTGGGTTCATGGTTTTGTTTCCGGACTTGTTTTTCTAAGCACAAAATTTACTTGGAGCTTTATGACCCTTTAATTGCATAACTTCAGGTGTATCGAGTCCGTATCTTTATAGACGTGTTATTTCATCAAGTCATTCTATGAGAAAACGCTAGATTTATAGGGGCTTCAGTCACCGACTTCCTTGATCTTTCGGTGTTAGGTGAATGGTTCAGTTTAGTTCGATTTATCTATGATGTTTATATGTGTAAATTAGAAAAGTTGGAACAATTTTTAGGGCTCATTTACTTACAAATAAAAAATTAAAGTTGAATTGTTGAAATATGGGACTAAAGCAAAGCACTGACTTTAAATAAAGCTTGCTACTTTTCACTAAAATTAGGGGAAAAAATAAAGTTTTAATATTGGATGCTTTTAGAAATATCTTCTGCTTTATTTCCTTGAAGAAAGGGTTAAATAAATTGCTGAATCGTTTGAAATTTATTGATCTTGAAGACAATTCTTTAAGAAAAATATAAGCCAATTAAATAAATTTGTTAAAATAGATCTTGTATTAGATATTTTAAAATCAAATCTTAACACATTAATTTGGTGATTTCAATGAAATAAATGATTTATGTATTAAAAATAACCCCATTTATAAGCTTATAGATTATCAATTCAAACAAGTAATAGATTAGATTCCAACATAAAATAATATTAAACTGAATTAATTTTTTTTATTAAAAATTAATTATTCTCAATCCGCCAAAATATTATAATATGATAGTCAATCCACTCACTAGTTCCATCCATGCATGAATCCAGATCCCAAGAAAGGAATTAGGTTTTAATTAAATTAAATCAAATTGATTTAATTAATATAATTTAAACCCTATCAGATTGTACAATGTCACACTTAGGCCTTAGCTGTCTCCTAATTAAATTAATTAATCAATTAATTGTAATTAGCAATAGATTAAATTTTAATTAAACTTGTTTTCTTTTGTTTCATAGCATGGATTACAGCTTTTTTCAAGTTGTGATCAAATTAAATTATAAATTAATAAAAATTTGCAGAGGCTGTCGAAAGTACAACACCTAATTAAATAATTAATTTAAATTAAATTAATATGTCTTCTTAATTTGTGATTAGTACGGAGTTTCCACTACTGTAAGGTATTTTGTACATTATATTAAAATTGTACAAATAATTTAGAACTATTTATTAAATATGAAAGAGGAAACAAAATGGTACTTTAAAAATTTTTATTTTTTTTTGAGTAATTAGAAAATTTTCGGAACCAAAATTATGCAGATATAGGGTATCATTACACCCCATATGGAACCTCCAATCATGGTTTTGATGGAATTTTTATTTTTTTGGTTATGAGAAAAACCCTCATTACATATTTTAACCGAAGTATAAGGTCGAGGGATTAGTCTGTAGTTGAGAAATGTTAATTTGCGTTTAGACTGTTTGATCATAGTTTAGGTGACGATGCTTTTGTAATGAGAAAAATTCTCGTAACCTATCTCAAATGGGGTATAAAGTTAAGTTAAGATATACTCTCATCAGGATGCTTCAATCATGGTTGAAATAAGGGTTTTTTTTTTTTTTTTTTTTTTTTTTTGTTTTTGTATAATAAGTTGTCAACTAAAATGCCCTTATTCGTGATGATTTTTTTTTTTAATCTTGATTTTCGTATTTTCCACGAAAATTCCCATAAACTATCTCAAAAGGGGTGTAGGGTCAAGGGATTAGTTTGCAAATTGGGGTAATGTTACCCCCATCTAGGACCTTCGATCAAGGTCTATAAGGTTTTTTTTTTTTTTAATGGAAAATTCAGCAAACTCTAATGATTATAAAGTCGGCGGATTAGTCTATAATATATGATAATAATCATATGCATTTTAACCCTTCAGTCATAATCTAGATCGGGAATAACATTACCGGATGGCACAACTTAACCTTCAATTAGGATAGAAAAGAAAGAAAATTATAAGTTGTTCAACAAGTCACTATATAAATGTGACCTCTTTGTAAAGACATTGAAGAATAGATGGGTGGAGATATAGGGATATTCCTCTAGTTTACGTGTTCAATAACATTAGTCGATGCGTTTTAATATATGACCCGATAACATTACTTATTCAATATCTAAAATATCTTATATATTGATTTGATAACGTTATTGATTTAATACCAAAATATAACCTAGAAAGAAGACAAATAAAAATAATATTACATGTTTAATAACATTATTTAATTCATCTTATTATTAATTCAATAACATCTCTTATTTAATATCGAAATATGTCTTACGTATTGATCTGACAACGTTATCAATTCGAGACTAAAACATACCCTAAATGAGAGATAAACAAAAAAAAAATATTACATATTTAGTAACAATTTTAGTCAATACCTCTTAATATTGACCGAATAACATTGTCGATTCAATATCAAAATATGTCACACCATATCGATCTAGCAAGATTACCGGGTGGACCGATTGCAAAAGACGACCTAATAGGGAGACAAGAGTAAAGAGTATGAGACGGGTTTGTGGCTTTCAAGGGCCAAAGGGGCTACCATTCATATGGTTGACACGTATTGACCTAGAGCTTTCACACAAACACGCGCATGGTGGTTGACACGTGGGCCAATCGGCAACCTGGTTTTGTCTGATGGGTTCCCCAACAACGTCGCCTTCCGTCTAACGATACTGTGGCTTTCCGTTCCCACTTGATTTGACCTTTACCCTTTGTTCTCCGCCGTCTGATGTCCCACGGACTCATCACGTTAAATTATCATTATTGATTTGTGGGGCTCTGGTTTTTACATGATCGAGACTTTCAGCATAATGTTTCCGAGGCATGTGACTTTTTATGTTATTTTTTTTATATTTTAAATTAATTATCTGAAAATCATAAAAATAACTGTACAGTAAATAATTTTTTTTATTCTTTATAAATTTACGTTACAAACTCGAGTTTGAAACTTAAGCTTCACCAAACCCGATAATTTTTTAGAAACAAATTAACATGTAAAAATTATTAAACTTGATAATATGTTGGTCCAGGATGTCTACAATGGTTGTAAGGACTTAAAGTGCTAGCTTTGAAGGGTAACAAATTACAGGAGAGATAAATGTGTCAAAGTGCAAGAATCTAAAGTTCTGGATGTTTCTGCAAAAACAACTCAATGTCTGTACCTGCTTTTGGTGATTGTTAGCGTTGGAGCATCTTGATATCTCAGCTAACAAGTCAGTTTTGATATTGTTCATGCAATACTCACCTTGTGAAAAGCTCACCTTTCTTGAACATTTCAAGCAACCAATTTGGAGGTCAATTCCTGTGCTTTCTTCAGCTGCAAATTTGCAGATCTCCTCCTGGGAAACAACTTTTTCAAGGAGAGATTCCTCTGCAACTAGCTGATTATTGTTCAAGTCTTGTCAAGATCGATCTTTCTTCGAATAATTGTCGGGTACGGTTCCCAGTAGCTCAGTTCTTGCTCTTCATTGGCCTCTCTTGATATTAATAACAAATTCTCAGGTGGAATTGCCTGTTGACACTTTCTGCAAATGAGTAGCTTGAAGGAGTGTTTTACCTTTAATGATATCACTGGTGTTCTTCCCGATTCTTTGTCAAAATTCACCAATTGGAGACTTAGATCTGAGTTCAAATAATTTCTCAGGTTTAATCCCGGCTAATTTGTGTCAGGATCTGGAAAACTCTGAAAGAGCTGTATTGCTAACAATTTACTTGCTGGTTCCATTCCTCCAACTCTTAGTAAACTGTTCACAGCTGTTCACTCCATTTGAGCTTCAATTTTCTCTCTGGAACTATCCCTTCAAGCTTGGGGGCTCTGTCCAAGCTTCAGGATTTGAAGCTGTGGTTGAATAATCTCATGGGGAGATCCCACAGGAACTTGGTAACATTCAAACATTGGGGACATTGATTCTTGACTTCAACCGTTGTCGGGACCAGTGCTTCTGGTTTAAGCAACTGCGCCAATTTGACTTGGATCTCATTGTCGAATAACAGCTGAGGGGTGAGATTTCTCGGTGGATTGGCAAGCTTTCGAACCTCGCGATTCTCAAGCTCAGTAAACAACTCCTTTATGGTAGCATCCCGCGGAGCTCGGTGATTGTAGGAGCTTGATTTGGTTGGATCTTATACCAATACTTAAGCGGATCCATCCTCTGCATGTTCAAACATCTGGTAAAATAGCGGTGAATTTCATCGCGGGGAAGAAATATGTGTACATTAAAGAATGATGGTAGTAAAGAGTGCCATGGAGCGGAAATTTGCTGAGTTTGCAGGAGTTAGACAGGAGCAGTTGAACAGAATTTCAATCAGGAATCCCGTAATTTCACTAGAGTGTATAAAGGTCTCACCCAGCCCACATTTAACAACAATGGATCGATGATGTTTTTGATATTTCATACAATATGTTGTCAGGAACCTTCCGGTGGAGATTGGGAGCATGTCAAATCTCTATATCTTGAATTTGGGGCACAACTCTTTTTCGGGTACTATTCCATCAGAGCTTGGAGGGTAACGCTTCTTAACATTTCTGACCTGTCGAGCAATAATCTGAAGGGAGAATTCCGACATCAATGAGTTCTCTTAGCTTCTTGCAGAGGGTGATCTGTGAACAAACCATCTCACTGGGATGATTCCTGAAGGTGGACAGCTCGAAACTTTTCCACCTACGAAGTTTGTCAACAATTCAGGCCTTGTGGATTGCCTCTTCCCCCATGTGGGAAAGATGCAGCGTCAAGTGCAATTCTCAGCATAAGAAGTCTGATAGGAGACCGGTGCTCTTGTGCGGAGCATTGCAATGGGATTGTTGTTCTCCTCTTCTGCATCTTCGGTTTGATCATAGTTGGTGTGGAAATGAAGAAAAAGGAGGAAAAAGAAAGTTCAACATCTGGTTTATATCGACAGTCGTTCACATTCTGGCACTGCAAACACCAGTTGGAAGCTAACTGGAGCTCGCGAAGCATAAGCATTAACCTTGCTACATTTGAGAAGCCCCTAAGAAAGCTCACCTTTGCAGATCTTCTTGAAGCCACCAATGGCTTCCACAATGACAGTCTAGCGCTCTGGTGGTTTTGGTGATGTCTACAAGGCTCAACTGAAAGATGGAAGCATTGTAGCCATCAAGAAACAATACATATCAGTGGACAAGGTGATCGCGAATTCACAGCTGAGATGGAAACCATTGGGAAAATCAAGCACCGGAACCTTGTACCTCTTCTTGGGCTATTGCAAGGTAGGGGAAGAGCGGCTTTTGGTTATGAGTAACATGAGGTATGGAAGTTAGAAGATGTTTACATGATAAGAAGAGAGTGGGATCAAGCTAAACTGGGGTGCAAGGAGGAAAATTTGCAATTGGGAGCTGAAGAGGGTTAGCTTTTCTTCACCACAATTGCGCTCCCCCAACATTATACACAGGGACATGAAATCGAGTAATGTCTACTCGATGAACACCTTGAAGCAAGAGTGTCCGATTTTGAGATGGTAGACTTATGAGTGCAATGGATACACATCTGAGCGTCAGCACGCTAGCTGGCACACCCGGTTATGTCCCTCCGAGTACTACCAAAGCTTTAGATGTTCAACCAAAGGCGATGTTTACAGTTATGGGTGTTTTGCTCGAGTTGTTAACAGGAAAAAGGCCAACAGATTCAGCAGATTTTGGTGACAATAACCTTGTCGGTGGGTGTGAAGCAGCACGCGAAACTCAAAATAAAGCGATGTTTTTGATCCAGAACTCTATGAAAGAAGATTCAAGCCTAGAGATTGAGCTTCTGCAACACTTGCGTGTAGCGTGTGCATGCTTAGACGACCGATCATGGAGACGACCAACAATGATTCAGGTGGCAATGTCAAGGAGATTCAAGCCGGTTCCGGCTTGACTCACAATCCACCATTGCCACTGATGATGGAGGTTTCAGTACAGTCGAAATGGTGATATGACCATAAGCGAAAGCCCCCGAACTAAGCAACAAGGCATAGAAACAACAACCACATTCGAACGAATGCGATTCGAGCAGTTTTCAACTAGAATCTTTGAAACCAAGAAAAGAGGGTGGTATGGTAATGGTTCCATTCAGCTGCCTAAAAAATTTTCCCTCTTTTCCCACTTGAAAAAAAAAACTCAAAAATTGGCATGAAAATTTGCCTTTGTATCTCTACCAGTTTAATGTATGTATCTCTTGTATCCCTTTAAAATTCTTTATTTATACATAAAAGGTGTTTAACTTCGTTATTAAAATGTGTAAATATACAATGCCAATTTGTTTTCCTAAGTGGTTTTTTGATGATTTTGATTGTGACTTTTTTAAGTGATTGATTGTGACCAAGTCGGGAGTTGTTTGGCCCTTTCTTCTGCATAATTTGTTCATTCATTCTCCTTTTGTCCATTTCAGTAGCATATGCCAAAAAAACTCTATGCATTTATGCAACTCTTGCATACACTTCATATTATTAAGGACATGAGCCTCCATTTCTTTTCAAAATAGTCCTAAAGGGGTTCTATGGCCCTCTTAGTGGGGTAAATAAAAGAGTTCCTCTGTATATTGTTTCTCATTATTCTCTGTTTCTTCCGATATTTCTGCTTTGGTTCCACTCTCTGTATATAGCGTAAAATCAAATACACGTTGAGGACGGAAGCTTTGATTCTTTCAAAATGGTCCTTAAAGGTGTTCTAGAAATTGATGTAAAATCAGAAAATGAAAACAATTTTGAATATTATATCAAATTCATCAATAAAGATTGGTTCATAGTTCAGACCTAATCTCACATACTTTTTTTCACAATCTGACTGACAGCTCGTAATTGATGAATTCGTAATTGAATAGGTGAGATTCATAGCAAGAGAGTGGGATCTATTTACGAGTTGATCAATTGTGAATTACTACGTCGAGATTGTAAAAGAAATTGTGAGATTGGGTTATAAGTGTAGTATTGCCGAATATATATCTTACTGACAATAAACAAAGAGTGAATGAAAATGTGAAAAACCACATTAAAGTTGGACCATGACTAAAATTCAATATTAAAAGTCTAATCCATAATGGTGGTTTTAACCATACAAATACAAAATTGGTAGGATAATGGGTGAAAAGATATAGAAAAATCTTTCCAAACTTGCTCTTTATATAGACAAAGTGCACAATACAGCTCTTTGTAGTGACCCAAATGAGATTAAATAATCTCAATTTTATCTTGGAAATGTGTTGTGTGCCCCTCTCTCCTTTTAACTTTCATCTAACATTCCAAATTCAACAATATTGTTCAAAACTTCTTTGGGTTCATGGTGTTTGTTTCTCGGACTTGTTTTTCTAAGCACAAACTTTACTTGTGAGCTTTATGACCCTTTAATTGCATAACTTCAGGTGTACGAGTCCGTATCTTTATAGACGTGTTATTTCATCAAGTCATTCTATGAGAAAATGCCTAGATTTATAGGGGCTTCAGTCACCGACTTCCTGATCTTTCGGTGTTAGGTGAATGGTTCAGTTTAGTTCGATTATCTATGATGTTTATAGTGTTAAATTAGAAAAGTTGGAACAATTTTAGGGCTCATTTAATTACAAATAAATAAATTAAAGTGTAATGTTGAAATATGTGACTAAAGCAAAGCACTGACTTTATAATAAAGCTTGCTACTTTTCACTAAAATTAGGGGAAAAAAAAAGTGTTAATATTGGATGTTTAGAAATATCTTTGCTTATTTCCTTGAAGAAAGGGTAAATAAATTGCTGAATCGTTTGAAACTTTGATCTGAAGACAATTCTTAAAGAAAAATATAAGCCAATAAAATAAATTTGTTAAAAAAATAGATTGTATTAGAATTATTTTAAAATCAAATCTTAACACATTAATTTTGGTGATTTCAATGAAATAAATTGATTTATGTATTAAAAATCAACCCCCATTTATAAGAAATAGATATCAATTCAAATCAAGATAATAGATTAGATTCCAACATAAAATAATATTAAACTGAATAATTTTTTATTAAAAATAATAATTTCAAATCCGCCAAAATATTATAATATGATAGTCAATTCCACTCACTAGTTCCATCCATGCATGAATCTCAGATCCCAAGAAAAGGAATTAGGTTTTAATAAATTAAATCAAATTGATTTAATAATAATTAATTAAACCCTTATCAGATTTGTCAATGCACACTTAGGCCTTAGCTGTCTCTATATAAATTAATTAATCAATTAATTGTAATT